AATGTATGTGTGCTTTACACAATTCATGTATGTATGGATTGTGATAAGAGTTGTATGAGCCCCAATAAAATGATTTTTTATAAAGTCTATTTTCCCCCCTGAGGAGCAGCCGGTGACTTTGAACTGTTCACCCTGTGGTGAGCAGCCTGCTGCATTACCCACTACGCCAACAGGGCTCCATGAGGGTCAGTAAGGAATCGAATGTTGGGCAGCTCTCTCTTTCCTACCTCTGCCATTAAGACCATGGCAGTGTGCATAGGACTTGGAGTCCCTGGGTAGAGCAAGTGGTTAAGACACTCACATCCGAAAGGTTGGTGGTTCAAGTCTACCCAGGGAAACCTTGGAAGAAAGCCCCAGCTCTCTACTTCTGGAAAACAAGCCATTGGAAGCCTTGGGAGTGCGCTTCTACTCTAACACACACGGTCACTGTGAGACAGAACCGACTTGATGGCACCTGGTGGGTAGAACTCAGGCTTGACTGCAGGGGCTCTGACCAGTCAGGTCCCTAATTGGGCAGGACAGGGTTTCCTGTGACCGTGATCTGTCATCCACACACATCCATACATCAAGGGCTCCGATCACGGAGCCTGCCTCCTCAGTTACTCAGGCATACGTTTGAAAAGAGACGGAAAATTCTGGACCAATGAGTAAATTAATGGCAGTGGCCAGAATAGTAAAGACACAGTGTGTGTATGTGTGTCTTTTTCCAAAGATTCATACGTATTTGAGAGACACCTATATAAATATTTTTAGTAAGATTTGGCATTTTCTTCCTAAGACATTTATTTATTCAAATATTGACCTAAAACTTGAATTCCGGCATATGATAAACACTGCAATGGGCTTCTGGTTGTTGAAGGAGTTAATTGTATTTATTGCCAGACATATAACAGATCTCTATCCTCAATTCTAAATTCACTTATAGAAAAAATAATTAAGCAAAACAGTATAATGTTGCCTGAACCTTCAAGTTAAAATGGAAATGTTGATATTTTTCATCAAAAAGATGTTAAATTTCCTCAAGCCCTAAGGGCTTGCACTTAAAATTTTTTGGTGCTTACAATATATACGCTGTCTGTGTATGTATTTGCTTTCCACCACAAATCATCTCTTAGGCAGATTGGACAGGTTCTCAAGTAATACTTGACAGGTTCTCAAGTAATACTTGGCAAAAGAACTTTTGGAATGCAGAATGCCTGGCATGTGTGATTAAGGTCTCACCGATCACACACTTTATCACCTACAATGATTTTTACATATGGGGTGCAGTATCTCCCCCCCCTTTTTATTTAAAACACCATGGCTCACTAAATTATAATGGCCCATTTGACCAAAAGGGGCCATTTTCAGGGGTGGGTGGGCAGACAGTAACATTGCGTGATCCTCTGACATGACCAGCGTGGTACGGTCAGCTCAGCGCTGAAGCTTTGTGAGAGACAGAGGGGTCAGTGCCCTGGGAGTCGGGCCTAAAAGTGGGTTCAAGGTCTTCAGAATGGCATGGGGGGGGGGGGGTCAGCTATCCTGAGAGGAAAATGGGCTTGACCCTCAGTCTTTTGTTCCTTCAATGATAAGCATTCTTCTTTTGAGCAACTGCTTCACACTGGGTGTTGATGATGCAAAATTAAATGGGCTGTGGTAAGGAGCCCTAGTGGCTCAGTAGGTTAAGTGTTGGGTTGCTAATGGAAAGGACTGTGGTTCAAATCCACCAGCTTGCTCTGTGAGTGAAAGATGAGGCAGTCTCCTTCTGTAAAGATCCAAAGCTTTGGAAACCTTAAAGGGGTGCATCTCCTCTGCCCTACAGGCTCGCTATGAGCCTACATCAACTCAATGGCAGGGGGTTTGATTTTGGGTTTGGGCCTACCCTCCAAAGCCCAAGGAATTTGCAGCCTCAAAGGGAAGACAGACAAGTAGACAATTCAGTGTATCATGAAATAGCTCTTTGTACAACCTGTGGGAGGGAAGGACTCACGGAAATCTTCTTGAAGGAGGTCATTTCTGAGGAGCGTCTACAAGGACAAATAGGAGTGAGAGGAAGCAGGGGAAGAGAGAGGATGCTGTAGTGAGACCCGCCTCAGGTACAGGGGGCCGGGGCCAAGGAATTTGGAAGCCACTGTCTGTGAGGGGAACTGTTTTTTGAATGTTTGCTATGATGCAGGCATACTATCTCACGAACATTTAATTGAATCCTCCTAACTCTATTGTAAGTGAGGCAGCCCCGTTTTACAGATAAGAAAACTGAGTTGAGAGAGCGAGATTAAGTAACTTGTCCCAGGCTATCCTAGTAAGCTACACTAAAGGGATTTGAACTCGGGTCCCTGAGAATTTAGAAGTAGAGCACTAAGCTACTTCAAAACACTTTTGAACATACTTCCCTTTCAGCAAATTTGTATGCGCAGGCATACAAATTTATAAATGCTTATAAAGTAATTCCTAAATTGTATACTCACATGCAAAAATACTGTGCATGCAATATAAAGCATACAAAAACTAGAAACAGTTTAGATGGAAATATTGAATTGTATGATGTGAATTATATGCCAATAAAATTGTTTGGGGAGGCGGATAGATTACCCCCCAAAAAACAAAAAACTAGAAAAAATTTAAAGTCTGAATTAATGATAGCTAGCCTTTAAGTGTCTTGCTGATCTAAATGGGCACATACTTCTAGATAATATCTCACTATTTAGGGCATTTCTTGAGAGAATAATAGATGCACATCTACATTTTAATTAATCTTGATTTTAACTTGGGGGGAAACATTTCTAATGTGGATGTGATTAGATCATTTTTCATAAGCTGACGAAACAGATAAAGTGACACTTCGTACTAAGAATCCAATTCCCTTGTCTTGTTCAATCCTGTATTCATGCCTTTGCAGTGATCTCTTTAGCCACTTGTCCATTTAGAAAAGCAAGTTTCTTTAAACTAGATAATGGATTTCATAAACCTATGAGAAAACAGAAATAACGATAGTTTGCGGAATACAACACGCCAACAAAGCACCCTGAGGAGCTCTCCTTCTATAGAAATCCTTCTCCACCTGCAGGAAATCCCAAAGCCTGAGTATGACCTTTGACCAGGGGCTGCAACCAAGGAAGGGAGGGGCAGGGACCTGTGTGATTGTGGTTGGACCTCTCCTCCTTAGTGTACAGCATGGCTTCCATGACGTGAGCTACAGAGATGAGAGCCCCAGATACCGTAAGGAGAACTCGCCCCGAGGTCGGTGGGTTGGTGCTTCTTGGACCTAAGCAGAGAGATCCAGGACTGCATCAGCCGGAGGGCTGATGCTTTGCAGTGAGCCAGTGGAATGCTTTCACAGATGCCATAGCACACCAGTCCAAACCCAACTCACTGCCATCAGTGCATTTCAACACCAGCAACCCTCTGTAGATTGTCCAGGGCTGTGAATCTTTACAGAAAGCCTCATCTCTCTCCCATGGAGTTAGACGTCCCAGTTAGTCATCTAACACTTACCCAACAGTGTTGCCAGAATTCTTAATCCTGTTGCTTAAAACTCACTGCCATCGAGGCAAGTCTGGCTCATAACGATCCTATAGGACAAGGTAGAACTGCGCCTGTAGTTTCCCGAGACTATAAGCTTTCTTAGAAGTAGCAAGCCTCATCTTTCTTCAGATGGCACAAACTATAAGTGCACAATGTATGTCATGCCAGCAGGCAGTGGGATATGGTGCTGATATCCATTCATTCAATAACTATTGGTTGTGCGCTGTTCCATGCCAGGCATCTGGCATGGGGTTGCAGCATGGACAAGACACGCAATCCCTGGTGGGTGCCGGTCTGTACTATTTGCCCAGACATTTGGCTCTCTGGCTTCCCTGCCTGCCCATCTGGATCTTCCCACTGATCCCCTGTCTGCTGTTTGGAGGAACAGTCAGTTGAAGGGCAAGGCAGGGAGGGGAAAGGAGGTCAAGGATGGGGTGCTTGCTGTCCAAGGCCAATCAATACTTCTCTTACCTTTACAGGACACACCTAAAAGTCCGTGCTCCGTCCCCGTGTGGGGTGAAGGGCACTTTCGCTTCCTCTCAGTCTGGCCCTAACTGTCATTCTGTTTTCCACTGATCATCGTTCGTTGCTCCAGGTCATGTGTATGAGAGAGGGGTACAGACGCAACAAGACTCCGGGTTCATGAAGCACACGTGTCGAATGGATCTCTTCGACGACCCCTGCTACATTAATACACAGGCTCCTCACAGCACTCTTGGCTCGGCTCGAAATCAAAGCTCCACTCAAGCTCTTGGGAGCCCGTGGCACCGTGGCAGTAAGTAGCTACTCGCCATCCCTAGTGGCTTCCAAGGGCTATGTGTCACCAACTGTCACCACCTAGGTCAGTGGTTCTCAACCTTCCTGGTTCCTCATGTTGTGCTGACCCCCCAACCACAAAATTATTTTCATTGCTACTTCATCACTGGAATTTTGCTACAAATTTTGTTATGACTCAGACGACCCCTGTGAAAGGGTCATTCAGTCCCCAAAGGGGTCACGACCCACAGGCTGAGAACCACTGACTTAGGTGGCTTAAAGGAAACCCGGAGCGCACTGGTTAAGTGCTCGCTGAGTTGCTAACTGAAAGGTTCAAATCCCCCAGGAGCTCGGGGAGAGCACCTTGCCTTGGCAGCGTGCAACCACAGAAAGCTGGGACAACAGAAATCCCTTCTGTCACCAAATTTCTGTGGAGGCTACAAGTCCAGCCTTGTCTGGAACCTTAGCTGAGCGAATCAGTTCCCTCCATTGAGCCAGCCAATTTAAGTTGGATCTTTTTTTGTGGGGGGTGGGGGGATACTTGATGCCCTTCGCATCTTAACTATCGTAGTATCCGATATTTCTACAACCATGACCCTCATCAGCATCACAGGTTGCCTTGTTAGGAAGGAAACGCGCTCCCTTGAACAGGGTATTTCTTTTGAAAGCAGACTTAAGTCGCTAGACCAGGCCAATGTGATGCCACCTAAGGATTCCAGACCCGGTGTATGCATGCTCTGGGGCTGCCATCACAACCGGCCACAAACTTGGTGGCTCGCAACAATCTAGATGTGCTCTCTTGCCATCCTAGAGGCCAGGGGCTGACATCAAGGTGTGGGCCAGGTGGGCTGCTCCCCTAGCTTGCGGTTGGTGGTGTGGGCAAGCCAGGGCGCTCCTCGGCTGGGGATGCCCCCCTCCGAGCTCTGCCTCCAGCGTCACAGTGCTGTCTCTCCTGTGTGTTTGTCTCGAAGCCCCCTTTCCTCCTTTCTCTGGCATGGACATAACTCAAGGATTTAGATCCCACTCTTAAGTCTAGAACGATCTCCTTCAAGAATCCGAACTACAGTGAACCCTCGTTTATCGCGGTTAATCAATTCTAGACCCTACCGTGATAAATGAAATTCCGCGAAGTAGGATTCCTTATTTGTAAATCAAATATTTTCATAGTTAGAGCATAGAGGACATGAAAAAACGACCTTTAGTCACCATTACACTTGTAGTACCCAATTTATTAAACGAAAAAGGGAAAATACAGTAAAACATTTTGGACGTTACAATTATCATTTATTATTTATTATATTATTTATGGCATCAAGCGTGTACAGTATGAGCCAATCAGTGGCAGTAATGACAGAGCATGCGCTGTTACGCAAAAACCGCGATAGAGTGAAGCCGCGGAAGTCGAAGTGCGAAGTGGCGAGGGTTCACTGTACACCCCAAAGACCCCATCTCCACAGTGACAGGTCCTAAGGGTTAAGGCTTAGCCAGGTGTTGGGGGGGCCTACTATTTAGGCCAGTAAGGAGGCTTGGGGAGCATGGTGAAGAGCTTGGCTGCGAACCAAAAAACATAGGCGGTTTAACCATCAACTTCTCCGCGAGAGAAAGTGGTAGCAGTCCACTCCTATAAAGAGTACAGCCTTGGAAATTCGATAGGGCAATTCTTCTCGGTCCTGTGGGGTCTGCATGAGCTGAAATCAACTCAGCTGCACTGGGTTAGTTGACTACATTGTCTTTCATGTCAAAGGACGCTGTTCCCTTGGCCTGGTCTCCAGGGAGCCAGATTCCTCTTTAGCCCAGCCTCTCACTTGAGCGCATGCAGCGGAGAGCCCTGTGAAGATACGATGTGGCTTTGAAGATTTTGGCCTTAAGATTCTAAATAATCCATTCAAATACTTTAGCTTTACTCCCCACTGCTGATTTCTGCTGGTGTTCTGTTTGTTTGTTTGTTTGCTTGGAAGGAAGGACTGTCTAAGCCAAGCAGTCATTTTAAACTCATTTGTTTGCATGAGAAACAATCAACCTCATTTCTGTTCTATTCAGTGACAGTGCTAATTTTGTGCAGTTTCAATCTCTTCTGACATCACCCACATGGCAGCAGTAAAATAAGGCGGCTCCTCTCTTCGAAGGCAGGCTAGGGGGAGGAGACAATGAGACAAATACCGTGGTCCTGCCAAATTGCTTCCCGAAATAACTGCATAAACAGGAACATACATAAATGCAAGCGAAACAAGCCCAAAGTCCACAATTAGCTGAAAAAGAAATAAACAAAAAAATGCTGCTCATAAAATGTCGAAGGCTGTTGGGTTCCAAGATTGGCTTGGTGACAAACTTGGTTTGCTCCAAAGATGAAGAACGAGGCTCCGGAGAAAAGTTCTTTCACCAGCCTAAGAAGCCCGCCCCCTCCCCCACCATACTGCCACCCCGCTTCCTTTCCCCGCTTCCTCCTCTCCCATGTCTGCCTGGAACCATCGGTCCCGTTGTTTTATCCTGCCAATACTATCTAGATAGACACGCAGAGACAATAATAAGCACAAAAGCAAGACAGAGCAAAACAAAACCACAAAAACCAACAACAAAAAAGGAAAAGCTATAAATAATGATAGGGGACGAGTCATTTTAATTGCCCTACTTTTGTTATTCTGAATCACTCCACAATGTATTGTATGAATGCATCATAGTTTACACAGCCAGCCCCGCATTGATGGGCATCTTAATTGAGTCCACGTATTATAATAATATAGGAGCCGTGGTGGTACAGCGTTTACTCATTGGAAGGCTAACTGTAAGGTCAGCAGTTCAAAACCACTAGCCTCTCCTGGGACGAAAGAGGGGATTTTCGGCTCCTATAAAGAGTTATAGTATGATTGGGCCTCATACTCAAGTACTCCCTCAACGCAAGACCACTTTGTTCTAATAAACTGGCATTCTGTGATGCTCACCTTCT